CCCGCCGCCCCCGGTGCTCCGCGCCTCGCCACCGCTCCGCGCCCCGTCGCCCGCCCGCCGCCACCATGGAAGCCATCAAGAAGAAGATGCAGATGCTGAAACTGGACAAGGAGAACGCCATCGACCGTGCCGAGCAGGCGGAGGCTGACAAGAAGCAAGCGGAGGACCGCTGCAAGCAGGTGAGTGTCCCGCGGTCTCGACCCCCAGGGACCCCCTCCTGCTGGGTGTCCGGCCTGGGGACCCTCCGCCCTCGGGGCGCCTAGCACCGGGGACCTGCCCGCATTAGGTGTGCAGCCTGGGGACCCCTGTCCTAGGGGCGTCCTGCCCTGAGGACCTTGCCCCACTGGGTATCCCGCCGGTGGATCCCAGCTCTAGGAATGACCAGCCCCGGGGACCTCACCCCACTGGGACCAGCGTTCCAGCCTGTTGCCCTTGACCACTCACGCTGGTCCCCCCAAACGTGCCTTATCTCAGTGGGACACCCCAGTGCCACGTCCCTATCCCTCTGCCAGGGAGACCCTTGGGGACAGCGTACTCCCACCCAGCCACACAGAGATGGGGACCTGCTTGGTGCCCCCCAGAGCTGTGTCCCCATGTTGGGACCTCTCTAGTCCCCTACACAGGGAGGGACCCCACCACCCCCTTACCCCCCTGCCAGGCTCAGGGGTGCTGGGGGCTGCTCCTGGCCCTGGGGACCAAAGGCTCCCTGAGGATGTGTGGACCCAAAGTTGACAGAGGGAGCATGCCCATGTGCTCCTGCTGTGGTCCCAGCCTTCCCCAGGAGGAGGATGACCATGCCTCCCAGCCTTGTGGGCACCGCCATCCCCCCTGACCCCCGCCTTCCATCCCTTCCCCAGCTGGAGGAAGAGCAGCAGGGTCTGCAGAAGAAGCTGAAGGGCACGGAGGATGAGGTGGAGAAGTACTCCGAGTCTGTCAAGGAGGCCCAGGAGAAGCTGGAGCAGGCGGAGAAGAAAGCTACAGACGTATGTAGGCGCGCCAGCAACTCCTCCCCTGCGCAGGCGCTGGACCTCGGGGGGGGGGGGGGGAAGGAAGAGGGGGAGGCCTTATATGGAAAGTGTCCTTGGGGAAGACTGTCAGGATCCCATTCCTGCAACACTGACACTGAACCAGGCTGAGATGCAGGGCAGGGACTGGACAGATCCTGCTCAGGGCATGGGGGCCAGGCCAGCTGCGCCAGGCACCGCTCAGGTCGCTGGTCCTGCCTGGAGCTTTGTGGGCAGCCACTGCCTGGCTCCCCAAAGCTAACGGGGACGAGTGTCCCAAGCTGTATCGCTGGTCCCCAGGCACGCAACTCTGCAATGCTTGTAGGAAAAACTCTGCGGTACTTGGTAAACTGTGGTGACAGGAAAGCAAAAAAGGGTAGAGAAATGGAAGAAGCTCTTGCTCATGGCCAGCTGCCAAGTGCTGGCTGCAAGGAAGGATGCTCTGGGTGCCTGGGGGGGACTTGGTCATTTTGGGGTCCAATGTGCCACCCTGTACCCTGGGAAGGGCAAGGCCTGGAAGAGTTTTATTATAGTGCCATGACTGATGTTTCTCCTGGGAAATGGATCCTGCTGGGGAGATGTTAGGAAGGTGTTGAAATTGGCTTGTGCCCGGCCAGGATGAAGGGTGGAACAGCTGTGTGCGGCCACAGAGCTGCTCGGGAACAGGGTATAACGACCGGCGGTGCCACACAGGGTATTTAACACCCTATAAATAAATCCTCCTTTTGATAGCCAGTCCTTCTTTGATGAAAACCAACCCTGGAAACTGGAGAAGAAGCTAAAGGGGAGCCGCCTGGAGCATGGCCAGCAGGACATGGCCAGGTTTTTTAGGATTGAGAACAAAAAATTGAATCCCAGCTGGTTTATGGAGCTAAATGGGGGAGATGCGTCAAATCTCCGAGGCGGCCGCCAGGACAGGGGTGAGCAGACAACGACAAGCAGTGGCAGCACAAGTCCCTGGAGTGGCCCAGAGCCCCTGGGGAGTTTGCTGACCGTACGGCCCTGCCCCAATTTAGTTAGATACTAAACCAAGAAGTTAAAACACTGAAAATCCTCTGGAAGGGCACGTTTATCCTGGCGTGGGGCAGGCATGTCGAGCTGGACAGGGTGGCTCCTGTGTGTAGTGGGGTTCACACTGGTCCCACTGGATCCATACTGGTGTGGGGCAGAGCAAACTCAGTGCGGGATCTGGCTGAGCATGGATGGGACGTCCCCAGGGTGGGGCTCAGAGCAAGGGGCAAACAGTGGCACTGGGCAGACGTCGGCCATGGGGTGCGGAGTGGCTTGCGGCTGGCAGTGGGCTGTGCAGTGCCGTCCTGGGCAGGGAGGGTGTCTTGCCCTGCTCTCAGTCCACCGTGGCTTGGCAAGTCTGTGGGCTTTGGCATGGACAGTCCCGTCTTAGGTGGTGGACAGGAGCCACTGACTCCTCCAGGGAAGGGCTGGAGGGGGAGGCATGGTGAAGAAGTAGTACTGGGGAGGGCAGGCTGCCCGCAGCAGGTGGTGTGGGCAGGGCTGGGAGCCTGTCACCAGCACAGCCACCCTGGGTCCATGCCGAAGTCTGGACGGGCTGCGCCATGTGCCGGGCTCCGGAGTCACCAGGTCCCCCTGCCAGGGCCCTGAATGTGCTGACAGCAGTAAGTGACAGGACTGGTGTCACCTCCTCCTGGAGGTGAGGTGCAGCGCAGCTCCCGGCTCCAGCGGAGGAAGGGCAGGGGGGACCCCCGGAGCCCACCTGCCCGCCTCCCCAGGGACCCCCGTGCTCCCCTTGGCTGCCAGGACAACATGTGCCTGTGAGCACGGAGCGTCCCCTTCCCTTGGCCAGGTCAGGGCCCACCACAGCAATCCAGGCAAGCTCCTGCTCTCGGCAAAAATGTCAACAAATCCCTTAAAAGAATAAATCTCCCCCTGCTCCGGCACTGCCCTGCCTCCAGCACTGGGCGGCAGGCATGAAGCCCTCGGGGGCGGCACTAAGGGGTGCAAAGCGACCCCCAGGCACTTGGGGGGGGGGGATCAGATGGTGGGACGGACAGGGGAGCGCCTGACCCCTGGTGGCAGCTCTACGGTGCTGGCAGCCCCTTCCTGGCAGCTCCGCGAGGCCACCGTGGCCCCTCCACCTCTTGTCCCCACCAGGGACAGCCCACGGTGCCCAGGGCAGAATGCAGGCAGGAGCTGCAGGGCACGGCGCAACCAGGAGAGTGGGTTAGCCAGAGCAGCCCCCTCCAGCCCACCACGTCCCCAGCCGGTGGCCTGTCCCTGGCCACTCCAGCAGGGCCCAGGGAAACTCCGCTGTTCCCGGGCCACGATCCGGAGAGCTTCACCCAAGTTCCCGCCCCGGCTGCTCTCCCCGTCCGAGACTTTGCTCTTATTTGGCGATTCCCCGAGCCGGTGGGAGGGAACGGGGCTCTTCTGGGAAGTGACTGCATCCCTGGGTGGGGCCAGAGCAGGAGGCACCCAGCCTGGCTGCCATGGAACTGGGGTGTCTGCCCCCCAACCTCTCCCCCAACCTGCTCCCCGCCTGCCTGCAGCCATCTCACCCCTGCCCCGTTGCTGCCAGGGACCCCTCTTTCTGCTCTGGGCCCCGTGCACCAGCTTGGGAGCGCTCTTGGTATCCAGGCGTTGTGCTGGGAGCGGGGCAGGATCGGCCAGGACCGAAGCCGAGGCCAAGGCCATGCGCTCCCAGGGGACCCACAGGGCCGCCTCATCCACCGCCACTTGGCAGGGGGTCAGGGGGCTGCAGGGTGCTGCCGGCAATGTGGCTGGGTTCCCCCCAGGACCCCTGGTCCTGGAGCCGAGGTCAGCCGGCAGGGTCAGCCTGGGAACTGGTGTCCCTGGAGGCAGGTGTAAAGTGCAGCTGGGGCTGCCTGGGAGCTGTCAGAGCTCCTTAAGGGAGGATTGAGTGCCGGCTTCTCCTGATGGGTCAAGGCATGTGCCCTGGCCAGGATGCAGAGCTGGGAGCTGGGGGACTGGCCTTCCCCCTAGGACAAGAGCCCCCAGGGCGGTTGGGGGGTGCAGGGGGCTCCCTGAGCCCCATGGGTCTCTGTGGGGCTGCCAGCCAGGTCCTCACTTGGGGGAGCAGATGCCAAGGGGCTGAATGGGACGGCTGCTGGGGACCGGGCTGTGCCCTGGAGCTCCAGCCCTAGGTATCCTGGGAGGGTACGCAGGAGTGGGCTCTGCCCCATCTGCCCCATGCCTCTCATTGACTTACCTATGGCCCCTGGGGGGGCAAAAGTCCATGACCCCCCTCAGCTCTGCAGCAAGGAGGTCTGGAGGGGGCAGAGCTTGGAGAGCACCCATGGGTATGCTGCTCCGGTGCCCATGGGGGCTCACAGGGGCCAGGCTCTGGCACTCCCAGATACCCTGGGCCCCTTTTCCCCCAGGGAAATGGACTCCCTGGCCTCCCCTCCATTGCTCTGGGGGATTTTGGTGGGACTGTGCACCCTTGCCTGGGGCGCACCATGCACCCTGCCCATGGAGGGGACAATGTGCCCTGCCTTGGGGGGGGGGGGGGCTGCGTCCCACATCCTGGGGGGCACTGTGCGCCCTGTCTGGGGGCACCATGTGCCCAGCCAGTGAGGACTGTGCATCAGCCCGGGGGGGGCACCGTGCACGCTGCCCGGGGTGGGGGCACAGTGTGCCCTGCCTGGGGCAGGGGGACACACCACGTCTCCTGCCCAGGGGGGCACCCTATGTCCTATGTGGGGGGTTTGGGGACATGCGCCACACACACACACACGAGTGTGCACCCCTCCCGATGTGGGGGCCGTCCCCCGCCGTGGGTGGGCACCGTGCGCCCTGCCCGGAGGGGGGGGTCAGCGTGCGCTGCCCGGGGTGGCGGCGGCGGCCCAGGTCGGTCGGTGGCAGGAGGAGGAGGAGGAGGAGGAGGAGGAGCAGGAAGGGATGGAGGCAGGGCGGGCGGCGGGAGCGGCCGCTGCCTGAGCGCTTCCTGCCCGAGCCGGGCGGATCCCACAAAGGGCTTCGGCGGCGCGGCCTCCCCGCCGGCAGCCCCTCGCCATGGCCAGCAGCAGCTCGATCGACGCCGTCAAGAAAAAGATCCAGAGCCTGCAGCAGGTGGCCGACGAGGCGGAGGAGCGCGCCGAGCACCTGCAGCGGGAGGCCGATGCCGAGCGGCAGGCCCGGGAGCGGGTAAGGGCCGCCGGGGAGGGGACGGGGAAGGG